AGAGAGCGAGAGAGCGAGAGAGACAGTGAGATTACAGGGGCTCAGGGCTATGCTTTGCTCATGCTCGGGCTCAGCTATATGCGTCTGACCACGCGTGAGACGTTGAAGTGGATCTACGCCGGCACCAGGATAGATTACATATGTATACATGCGCATGTACCTTGTATACATATATAAATATACATATACATATGCGCACACAGAATGACGAGCATTGAAACTAATATTGTTCGTATTTTCTGAGAATCAGCGAGCACCAAATGGATCTTTGCAAGAAAGGGCTGGGGCTTGTGTCCGGGGTTGAACTTCTACGAGTTTTTTGCTTATATAGAGTTTATAAAGACGCTATATAGGCAGTGTGGGGTTACGGATGTAGAACACAATTTAGCTTGACCTTGGCTAAGAATGGTAGTGAAGAAGAAGATGAAGGTGACCTGTCTCAGGTCCGTCTACCAGTTAGATATGGCGTTCGCACATGCCTAGTTTGCTTGTGTGTTTTGTCGGTTGGTCTGCCTGGCCTGTCTCTTCATTGCCTGCTTCGCCTGTGCTTCAACAGCCGGAAGCTGTGCACAAAAGCTTGCCAATCACAAAAAAGAGACCCGAACGGAAGTTGAGAGAATCAGGGACCCCGATACAAAACCTGACAAGCAGGCTCCATCGTGATGTCGCAAAAGAACTTCGCAAACCTGTGCAATCAGTTCCCTGCAGCCTTCTTGCCCAGTCGTATTGAGAGCTGAATCTTGCGGTTGAAGCTCTAATGCAAGTTCAATCTTATGGGACATGGCTTCAGAGGGTCAAAAGCCGCTACTGTACTTCTGTCCCCTTGCTTGGAAGAGGTGCTTTACACCAGGACAGAAGCATGTGCAAGACAGAACAGCGAGGTGCGCTCAACTTGCGTCCTCCTCGGGCCAAAGAACAACTTCACGACAAGGAACCTGCCGCTCAGGATTTCGGCACTCGCAATGCGAACTGTTGTCTCGGGTATGGTGGCACTTCAGATGTCGGAGGTCGTGGTGCTGGTGCTGGCAATTTCGATGTTGGGCACGGAGCACGATGATCATGATGGAATAACCTGGCAGCACAGCAGCTTGACCGTGGTAATGTGGGAAATGGCCAGAAACGACGGTGATGATGATGCTGATGATGCGCGACGTCGTCACGCTGGCAGGTGGCATCGAGGGCGGCGATGCTAATGACTGCGAATAGTGATCGTCAGCATGACGATGATGAAACTGCATCTGAATACATAAACACACATACACATATATGAACACAACGCTCGAGCGCGGAACTACAAATACTGACCGGTTTACGTCTAAACTGAATGCATGTTGAAGCGTTGGTTCATGTCACAGGACAAGACCCTCCGACAGCTCACAAGGGTTTAGGGCTTCGGGGTTTCAGGGTTTAGGGTTTATGATTGAAACCGTAATTGAAAGTTGGGACTCTCTACAGAACTCTGAGCTCATCAGCCTGTCGTGTCTCAATTCTAGGCCGGACCGTCTCGAAAAAAAACTTATACATGGCGGTTTCCTGAAAATAGGGGACCCTTATTATAATGGCCCCAGAATAAGGTACCTCTTACTTTCGGAAACTCCCACATAGCGATTCGAAAAGGCTTTGCAGGGGACTATAAAGAGGATCTTGCAGTTAGTTGTACATTATCCTAAACCGTACGTCAGTGTTTAGGGGTTTAGGGGTTTAGGAGTTTAGGGTTTAAGGGTTAAGGGTTAAGGGTTAAGGGTTTAGGCGCCGTACGTAAACTCCAAACTCCTAAACCCCAAAGCCCTACACCCTAAACCCTAAACCCCAAACTCCTAAACCCCAAAGCCCTATACACCCTAAGACTGCCCATCCAGGGAAAACCTAGGACCTCTCCCTCGAGCAGCCGCCGCAGCAACTGGGAATTCTCCGGTCGCTTCAGCGAAGTAGCCAGGAAACCTTATTGGGTTTCGGGTTATGCAGGGTTTAGTTTAAGGGTTATGTTTTATAGGATGTCCGGCTTAGGGCTTAGGTGTTTTCGAGTGTTTTCGATATCAGGTTTCGGGTTTGGGAGCGCAGCTTCCAAGCCAAAGTGAATGGAACCTCCGGATCATGCCTCAGTCTAACACAACCTTTTGTCGTCTGTGAAGTTCACGTGCACCGACGCTAGACGCTAGAGCGTAAGGTTTGCTGGGGCTGCGGGGAAAACTTTCTTCCAAAATAGTAGGCAGAGTCTACAAGGTCAGTAAGAGCTTGTAACCCAGGTCCGCTGCCCCAGCCTAGGGTAAAACGAAACTTTGGGTCTCTATTAGGGTTCTTGATATAAATCCCAATATTTTGGGGTTATAGGGCCAGGGAGACTGAATCAGCTTCCGACCTTATGTGCGAAGCCTGTGCCTCGTTTTGGTGTCACCACGGTGTGGAGACATATGAAGAGTAGTCCTTTTTGCTTATTGTTGAGTTGGATATTAAATACTTATTGAGCTAAGTATCATTATCCCTGTTCGTTGATTCACGTGTGGCAAGCTGATTGGCTTCTTCTCCTAGCGGCGATGGCTGTCGCCCAGCCCACTCGAGTGAAAACACCACCATCCCAGCAAGCCGATATTGCGGATTAGGGCTTTTTTGTCTCCTAGCTAGGACGGATTAGGGCTTCGGTTTTGGGGTTTAGGGCACACACTCGCACTAGGCTGGCATAAGTGTTTAGGGTTTAAGGGTTTAGCGGTTTAGGGTTTAAGCGTTTACGCTCTCGCAACTCGGACATGCCAGGCTAGGGTTTCCGGTTTAGGCCCTCATCAGAAAAGCTTACGGTGCTGCAGAAGCACATCCTTACACACTTGTCAATCTACTGCGAGTGGTTAGTGTGCACACACAACAAAACAATGCAGTCTGTGGCAAAGGCTTTAGACCCTTGCTCGACTCACTAACAAAATACACCCAAACACCAAAACACACGCGCACACACTTACTCACTTACTCACTCACTCACTTAAACTTGCTTAAGTATACTTGCTTAAACCCACATACAAAATGCAGCGAAGCAGCGCACCTTTTGGCGGTAACCACGCGGGGCCGCATCTGCGCAGGCCCACGCCGCCGCCTGCCGTGAATGGTGTCACTGAAACTGGGGTTTGGGGTGTAGGGTTAATATTCCAGTTGATGCTTTGGCCAAGGCCCAATCATAGGTCCGTGGAAGTTGGGGGTAAGAGGTGAATGCTGTGGAGTCCATGGTCTGAAAATCTGAACTGGATTGATTGCCGTAGGAAAGCTCACAAGCCCTCGCACTGAGCAAGCTACGGGTGTCGAACGCAGAACATGGACAACTGCAGCGACTCTTGCGAGCGTGCGGATGAGGACTGCTAACCACCACTACTACTACTACGACTACTACAACCACAACTACAACTACTACTACTACTACTACTACTACTACTACTGGTACTACTAACTAATGACTACTAACTACTAACTACTAACTACTGCTACTGCTACTGCTACTACTACTACTACTACTACTACTACTTCTGATAATAATAATAATAATAACAATAAACTCCTAACTACTAACTACTAACTACTAACTATTAATAACTACTAATTACTAGTACT